CATACAAATGACTGAGTAGCAAAAGAATGGATAGGGATGAAGTCTTTACTATCCCTTGTATTGAAATACAAGAGTCAAGGATCATCAAATGAAGTCAGAAGGCGGCAATTTAAAAAAAAATAAACCCAACAAAAGGTGGACCTTCCTACAACAGGTAGCAAACATGGAAGTCTGGGAAGAGGTTGAACATATTCAAGGGAGGATGAGAAATACCTGGGAAAGAAATCCATTGAGAGTTATTAAATAGTTGGAGGGTAAATATCATGTATGCTTCCCTGGCTTTACTCTTCCCTACATGTCCACTTATTAGAACTGTTGCAGACAGGATAAGGTACAAGATTGAGCCTTGATCCAAACCATTGTAATTGTAGAGCGCTAAATCCAAATCCAGTTTAATTCTATGTCTTTGTTTCTATATAATATCAATACAAAAATCACTAAATGGTTCCTGTTGCGCTTTCACAAATGAATGGTTCGGCCATGTATTATTACAGTTCTTTTTATGCAGAGTTCTGAAATTTGGCTTATGAGCTCAACACAGATATTACTGGTTTCAGTAGAGATGTGAATAGAGATGTGAAGGTAAAAAGACAAAGTGCCTTTTGCTGGGGGTGGGAGAGGGTGTCCTGGGGTTTTAAGGTGAGGAACATTCTGAAAGACAGATAGAATCAGGTTTTTTCAGTCAGTCATTTCTAAAGCTAATTAAAAACCTTGATGTTCTAAGCTGGTAGCAGCATTTGTGTATAAACTGAAAACACAGCTACTGTAATATAAGATTCTGACTTCTGCTGAGCGGAATGAAGTCACTTCAGATAGTGCAAACATGTGACTTTGTTATGTTTGCAAAGAAGGCAAAAATCAATATTCTCAGACAATGTCTACATGAGCAAGCTTTTTGGTGTGACAGAAACAGATGAACATACTGGAGCACTGAAGCCCCTGTACTTAGACAATGTGTGGTTCAGTGTTTTTACTTTGTCTCAGCTCCACAACAGCACACACCCATGTACAGGGTTTGAAGCTGTCCAGATGACCAACCTCTCCTTTGGATCCTTGTTCCTCCGTTTGGACACAGAGTGTGCTTGGCATGCAGCTGGAGCTCACTTTCTGGTTTCATTTTCTCTAAAAGGAATCCAGATCTGAACCAGCGGGCTGCAAGGTATGACTGCAGACTGAAAGAAAGGAAAGTGTTAACAGTTTCTCAGCTCATTCCCTTGAGCTTTTATTATGGGCAGAAGTTCTGCAAGAGAAAGGAAAAGAGGTTTGTGCTCATCAACTGGGTGTAAGAGGTCAGATCACCAGCTGACAGGCACTGACACTAAGAGAGGAGTTAATAGAGTTTTAATGAGTGAGCTGGGCCAATGATCACACATCTACCTGGCTTCTGAACTGCCTTTATGATAGGAATGTAATTTTAAGCCATCTTATTCTGAAAGATCTGAAAATTTGTACATTCTCATTGAGGATAATACTAGTTGTCAAATTTGTAATGAATTAAAAGTAACAGGATTTCACAGATGAAGAACATTTGCATTTTTCCCATTCAAATGCCCAATTATCTATCATCTGTGCTGAAAAAAATCAACTAGCCATTGAACTTAAAACCCCTTTTGTTAAAAACAGAGACACCTGTCTTCATCAGTATTAGCAAAGTGCTTTAAGGCTTATCAGAAAAGGATAGTAGCAATAGAAGTACTTACTAAGATGAGAGATGACTAACACATTAATCTTTTCCTTAAACTCAGATCAGTGCCCAATGGTTATCTTCTGTTCTAAACGCAGAGGCACAGATACTTTGCTTATATAGATTATACTTAGGGAGCTGAGTATTGCACTCATACAAAACTCTCTGAATTCAACTGTTTATGTACATAATCCTGCAAAGTAGTTCCTGAGATCAAGAGAATGAATGACAAATACATGCCCACTGAAACATGAAGGATGTTTACCATATAAACACTATAATAGCTAACCTGACTTTTCCCTAGTAGAACATTTCTACTATAGGAATTTAACCCATGGACACACATAATTAGCTCTTTCACCTTAAAGTTGCTGAAAGAATTATTTGCTTAAGAAGATTAGTCCTTTTAGTGTTCAATAGAAGTACTGACAAATGAGCCTAAAATGATTATAGGGGAACTCTTTTAACACCATCTTCTGATCTTTTATTTTAAAATAGTGTGCCTTTCAGTCAAAAACCTTTTAATCTGACCTTTTGTGTTTTTCCAAATCAAGGCTCAACTTTTAATACTACATGTATTCAAATCTTGTATGTGATGAGATGGTTTTCAAGGCTGTTTTGAGCCACATCGAAGACTACCACAAGAGTATCTTCAAATGGAACTTCAATGCTAATTTATTTCTTCTGGTCATTTGTAACTGCATGCAGCTTCCTATCTTCACTGGAGCACTTTACCATGTCAGTGGTGACAGGACAACTCTTTTTGAGCTATGCTGCACCAAAACACCTTGAATTTAAAATCATTTTCCAGAAAAGGGGTATTTTTAAGGGCAGGTGGAAGACAGAAGAGGTGATACTGAAGAGCAAAGACAGGAACAAAGGTGTCTCACATGGGTTGTGGCAGGGAAATGGATTTTTCAATCAGTTTGGCTGTACCACGTAAATTGAGGTGTACAGCTAGCACTGTAATAGAGCAAGCATTGTAAGTTGCCTGCAGTGGCTCTGTAGCTATAGTTTGCACGACAGTCTATTTTCCCATATAAAAGCTAAGGGTCACATTTTGAATTACTTATACAGTCTTACAGAGTAATCCTCTTAGTTAAGGCAGTGAATTATCTGGATCCTTTATTGCTACATAGTTTTATACAAGCATTGAAATCATGTGAATTATATTTCTATATTTCTATTTTTCCTACTCCTATAATTCTAGGTCTATTTATCAGCCTTGGGAGATTTATCTTACTCAGCTGTTAGCAACAACTGAAAGACTGATGCCGTAAACAGAATTCAATTTATATTAATTCTCTCAGTAAAAATGAGTAGAGTTTTCCATTTTAGTTTTAAGTCATACTGCCATCTACAGATTGAATAAACACTTGCAATATTCTGTTTAGGGTAACAGGAATCCAGTTTGGAAGAGGTCGCCGGTCTCGAGTCCAACTGACTCCATAAAACAGGGTTGCCTCTGAGCTCAGACCAAGTTGCTCAAGAGCTTTATTGTATTGGGTCTTGGAAATCTCCTCAGATGGAGACTGCACAGCCTCTGGGCAGCCTGTTCCACTGCCTGACTGTCCTCACAGGAGCAAAGTATTGCCTTTTAACCAATCTGAATCTCTCATTTCAATTTATGTGTCTTGTTCTCCTGCCATGCACCACTAGGAAAAGCCTGGCTCCATCTTCTTGCTAACCTCCCCATAGGTACTGGGGACCTGCTGTTGGTTCTCCCCTCAAGCTGTCTCTTCTCCAGGTTGAAGAAATGCAGTTCCTTCAGCCTTTCCTCAAATGGCAAGTGCTCCAGTCTCCAAATAGCCTGGAGGCCCTTTGCTGAACTCGCTCCAGTTTTTTGATGTCTTTCTTGTGCTGGCGATCAAAACTGGACAAGAAGTTAAATGTGGCCTAACAAGTGCTGAAAAATGAGACGTTATCCCTTCCCTTGGCCTTCTGGCTGTGTCCCTGCTAACACATCCCAGGAGGCTGCTTGGCCATCTTTGCTGCCAAGACACACAGCTGGCCCATGTTCAGCTGCCCACTGGGTCCCCAGGGCCATTCCCTCAGAGCTGCTCCTCAGCCTGTCCCACCCCAGCCCGGGCTATGGCAGGGGTGCTTCCTTCCCAGGGGTAGCACTTTGCGCTTGTCCTTGCCATAAGGTTTGTCATAAATTACCTTTTGGTCTATTCCTCCAGCATGCTTAGGTTTCCCTGAATGGCAGCCCGATACTCCAGAGTATCCATTTGCAAATTCGATGAGGGTGAACTCTATTACCTTCTCCAGGTCACTGACAAAGACATGAAACAGGCTGAGGCCCAAAAGAGACCCCAGTGGCACTCACTCCAAGTAGGGTATGACCTGTTAACCACCACTCTACAAGCCTCATCCAATCATTTCTTTAACCCATCTGGCTGTCCACCCATCCAGACTGTAATGTCCTAACTTGGTTTCAAGAATATTGTGAGATGGTGTCAAACACCTTGCTAAGGTCAAGGTAAATGATATTTTCTGCTCTTCCTTTTTCCACACATCCACTCATTTTATCACAGTTCAGTGTGTGTTGTATGGTGGGGTTTTTTTAATTAAGAAAAGAATATAAAAGTTTTTTCCAGGGATGATTTTATTAACTTTTTTTTGCCACCATAAGGCTTTACAGTAACAGGAATAAAGTCTGCATCCTGTAAACAATAAAATAAGGGTTTGGTTTTATTATAAATGGTTTTGTAGTTATGTTAATTACTCATCTCATTTTGATGAGCTCAGTTGAATAGGCACTAACTAACAGCTATGCACTACTTAATCTTGGAATTTTTAATATTAAGTTGGGGGATTCATCAAATGTCTGATAAAGTATCAGATGACTTGTCAGTGTTGACTCAGGACTTTTATCTTTTAACACTTGGTGCCTGAACACAAGGAAAACACAATATATTTAGTGAACCTCAGTACAGCAACTTTTCAGTTAGATACCTGTAGGCTGCAAACTTGTAACATTATTGCTTGAACAGCATTTAGCATAAACCATTTTAAAAAAAATTATTATGACATAAAAGATACATTTGTTTGCAGCAAACATTTTTCCTGGATTCAACTTCGCAAATCAGATGTGAAATTTGTGCTTGCAGCCCATGGCTTCTTTAAGTTTTGTTAAACCTGTCTGGCGTAACACACAGCTTTATTCTAATGCATCCAAAGGTTTGCATTTAGGGTTTGGAATGGTTTTGGAGCATTCCAAAGGGGTTTGCTGGGGTTTTTTTCCCAATCACTATGAATTTCAATCTACAAATTTTTCCTGTTTCTGGCTTGAACCTGTTATTCTCCCTTATTTTCTTGGCATTATACATAAGATATCACCATTGTATAATATTCCTGCAATCTTTCATTAACTGGAATCTTAAAAGTCACATTTCATTATTTCTCTCAGACAGACTGTTGCATAACATGAAGGATCAAGGTCAAATGATATATGAAGAGAGACTTTTGATTCATTCAGATTGTTGTCTTCAATTGCAATTCCTTTTTCACTACCTTCCAAAAAATATGACAGATTCTGAACATTTTTCAAAATGGGTCTGTAGCATCCAGGTATATTCAGCTGTAATGGAAACACTCTGAATTTGCACATGTGCAGCTCATCCTTAGAAAGTCTTTCATGGTACCATTGCCCAACTTTATTACTGGGATACTTGATACTATGTCCCACCATTGGAAGAACCACCTTCAAAGAAAAAAACAAAACAACAAACATATTTGAAATAAAGCCCACCAATTCCCATTTAAATAAATGTGATTACAATTTTAAATGTGTAAATCTTGTGTTTTGGGGCCTGAAATAGTAAACCAGCAGCTTCTCTTGTGAAATAAAGCTATGCAAGGCAGGTATCTTGGATGCAATTAAAGCAGAAAAAGTAATCAATGTATCAGGATTTCTAAAACAAACTAGAAATAAACTAATATGAATATTCTTGCTTGTTGGGAAAGATATAGTAGTAAAGACATTAAGCTGCCTATGTAAGACTTTACAACTATGCACTCTGAACCTTCAAAAATTAGACCCTCAACTGCTCTTGAATGTTTTTCCCAGTAGACTGAAAAAATTTTCAAAGTATTTACATTCAGCTTCAAGATAAATATTGCTATAATGCAAATGACACTGTACTTATTTCCATTACAAAGTAAATATTATTTCCTCCTGTTTGTTATGGGAGTGGAGATTAGTTCACATGTGTTTTCTTTAATGTGCATTCTGGCAAGGAAGAAGGCTGCACCAGTTAATTTAATCACATTATTTTTAAAACAAAACATTTTAATCAAATAAAGAGATCAACAACTCAAAATTTTTCATACGGACTTACCTGGTGTATAGAGTATTTGTTAACTGATTCTTCTGGAGCAGTGACTACATGAACCTGACAAGACATTTAAGAAGTTAAGAAAAAAAAACTTCATTAAAAATAAAACACACACTTTATTTTAGGAATTATGCACTGTACTCCCAAACTCGTAAAGGATTCTAATGTTATTTAATTACTGCAAGGACAATAAGCTATTTAAGTATGAAAAATAGTACAGATTCTTAGTATAATCTGTTTACTAGTAAATGGCATTATATTCAATATTTACTGATGCTAGCTAACACCAATTAGCAAACTATCACTACGAACTCATATTCTTTGAGTTTGAAGTTAACCGTGCTGATGCAATCTTGTGCTACATCAGCTAAAGCAAAAATACTAAGGGAAATGGTTTATATTAAATAGGAACATATCTATATTTAACTCAATACTCAATTTGATACCTCTGATTTTCATTTTATTTGATCTACTTTTTTTATTAACATTCAATCTCAAAAATATGGTTGAAGAAAAATCACAATGGAAACAGAAGCCACTCTACAGGGACTGGAGGTTATTCAGTAACCTTCTAAGTCCTCTTGCTTTCAAATTTGTAAGAAAGATGTTCACCCAAAAGAAATGGGATACATTCTGCCTATGCACACACCTGTTTATTATCCAGTAAAACACTGCAAAATTCTATGCTTTATCTGATGATCAGGAGAAAGATAGAATAATAGAATCATTTACGCTGGAAAAGACCCTTAAGACCATCAAGTCCAACCGTTAACCCAGCACTGCCAAGTCCACCACTAAACCATGTCCCTGAGCACCACATCTACATGTCTTTTAAATACCTCTAGGGATGATGACTCAACCACTTCCCTGGGCAGCCTGTTCCAATGATTGACAACCCTTTCAGTGAAGAAATTTTTCCTAATATCCAATCTAAACCTCCCCTGGTGCAACTTGAGGCCATTTCCTCTTGTCCTATCACTCGTTACTTGGGCGAAGAGACCCAACTGCTTCCACCATAAAAAGGTATGCTAACACTGAAAGAAGAGATGGCTTCAGAATGGACTTCAGCATGCCAAGACCTGGGACCAGCACACACTCCATTGCTGGCTTCTGGTCACTGGCTCACCCATGGCTCCACACACAGCACCCAGGCTGTGCTGTGGGCGAGCAGAAGCACTCCCTTGCCCTTTACTACTTTCCCAAGACACTGCTGCATTTTTTGAACAGCTGCTGACAGTTTAGACCCACTGTCAATCTGTTTTAATTGCCTCAGTGAAATTGTGCTACACGTGCTTTGACTGTGTAGCTGCAATGAGATTACCAGTTCAGTCTAAGGCCACCTTTTACCATGGGCTAACATTCATTAATATATATAATGGGAAGGTCTGACCTGGAGAGCAAGACTCACATCTGCCCTGACTGGTAATACAGACACACCCAAAGCCCATTCTGAAGGTTTTCCCCAAAGAGCATTATATACCACGCAGGCTAAATCCATAGATATATGAATTCTGACATTGTGTTCCTTCTTCTCACTTGAATAAAACGAACAGTCAAAACAGAAAAAAGGTGCTAATATACATCTAGCATATACATCTATTTATGGTAAATCAAAAAAAGCTACATCACTTTTTTCACCTTTGTCACAAATATGTTAATGAATGAACCAAAATAAAAGCATGAGAGTATATCTGAGTATGTATTCAACTACATTAAGCTTTTTTTTTTTTTTTTTCCCCCCAAGAACTATTTTGTGAAGACTCACCTTGTCATTCAGGGAAACACTTTCATCATTTTCTTCTGAGAAGACAAGATCACCCTCAACAACTTTTGAACCATATATCTTCATTCTATATGATGCTGCTTCATTCCAAATTTTACTGCTATAAGCATGGATATAGAATATGCGCATGGAATGAGGAATATTGAGCCATCCTTTGGTACAACCTTCATGATTTACACCATAGCGATTTAAAGCTCGTAGCAACATCTTCTCTCTCACTTTATATTCTGGCAACATCACGAGTGCACCCTTTGCATCTTCTGATATAAACAGAAATAACCATGTAAGTAATCCCTGATTTTTCAAATATTACCTGTCAGGAAAATCTGCACTTAAGAAGATTAAATAATCAGGTAGGGAAAAATTGATGTCAGTCTAACCTCTTTATGCTGACTTTTAGGTTATTATTCCCTTTCCTTCAATGTGTCATGTTAGACAGATTTCATCTTAGATGCCTATCAACACAGTCCCACGAATTCTTTTCTATTTCATGCAGTATAAACTAAACTAGCTGTTATTGAGATACTCTGCCTAGTTTGTATTTTTTTTTTTTTTTTGAAACTTAATTCATCACTCCAAAGTTTGGTTTTTTTAGATCAGGTAACTGAAAGTAAAAACCAACCTACAAAAGAACATTAAACATCTACTTTGCATCATTTCACAACATGTATTTCATAGAGGGTCAAAAACTTTACTTGAAAGGTACAATTTGCATTGGCCACTGGGAAGTCTGAGCCTCAACCAAGATACAAATAGATTTAGTCAGATTTGTACTACATTCTATAAATGCAGTATAGTTTAAATCTTATTGTTAACACATTTTGTCATTACGAGTGATTATCTGATGAAGCCTTTCACATAGTCTTTTACATTTTGCTTGCAGGAAAAGGCAAGCATCTGTTTTCAGAGTCCACATCAATGTATTTCCATGCATCATGCAGCAATTCATTGCATTGTCTTTGTGAAATTAAACGTATCTATGTCTCTTGAAGCTATAAATCATAGTTGTTTTGTCAATCTACAATGATAAGCAGGTTAATAGATGTGGAATATTTGAAAAGAACAAATAGATTTGAAGTCAAGAGCAACTCGAAATTTTTAGTCTTGGAGAGAAAGTTAAGCTGAATGATAAAATCAATAAATATGACAAACAGAGCATTTTAATCAGCACACTTCTGTCTTTGAGATATTTTGTTGATTTTAGTGCAAGACAGAAAGAAGGCAGATCACAGGAAAGCATAGAAGAGATACATAATTAAAGAGACGTAAAAGCTAAGCACAAACATGCAAAAAACAAGAGCTAAGATTGTTACAGAAATCTCAGAAAATTAGATGCCCACATATGGTAAGTGTTGAGCATGAGTTGAGTGTCTCATTCCTGTATACTTCCAGCAGGTCGAGGGAGGGGATCCTGCCCCTCTACTCTGCTCTTGTGAGACCCCACCTGGAGTACTGCGTCCAGCTCTGGGGGCCCCAGTACAGGAGAGACATGGAGCTGTTGGAGCGAGTCCAGAGGAGGGCCACAAAGCTGATTGGAGGGCTGGAGCACCTCTCCTATGAGGACAGGCTGAGAGAGTTGGGGTTGTTCAGCCTGGAGAAAAGGCGGCTCCGGGGAGATCTAATTGCGGCCTTCCAGTACCTGAGGGGGCCTACAGGAAAGATGGTGAGGGACTGTTTATCAGGGAGGGTAGTGACAGGACAAGGGGTAATGGGTTCAAGCTGAAGGAGGGTCGATTTAGATTAGATGTTAGAAAGAAATTCTTTACTGTTAGAGTGGTGAGGCACTGGAACAGTTTGCCCAAAGAGGTTGTGGATGCCCCGTCCCTGGAAGTGTTTAAGGCCAGGTTGGATGAGGCTTTGGGCAATGTGGTCTAGTGGAGGGTGTCCCTGCCCGTGGCAGGGAAGTTGGAACTAGATGATCTTTGAGGTCACTTCCAAGCCTAGCCATTCTGTGATTCTATGATTCTATGATGATTCTATGATTAAAGAGAAGTTTATATTCCAAAAGCAAAGAGATGGAAGAAGGATAAAACTGCTTTGATAAAATTATCTTAGTCTTTTCCAGTATTGTGCTATGCAGTGTTTGTTTCTATACTGTCTTGCTCCTGAAGTACCTTAGTTTTCCATTATTTTGCACATTTAGGGCATCATCCTCATCTAATTTTTAACTGTGCGACTCTACTGAGTTCTGCAGAATAAGCTATTAAGTGGTAAAAAGCAGCAGCAAAATAAAAAGTATCTCTCTGTGCAGCAACACCTTATTCCCTCACAATATCGACCCTGAATAAATATATAGACAATTTAACTAGACATACCAGTTTGAAGAAAGTATCTTTTTGCATTGTTTACAGGGTCATCTGTATCTTCAGGTGTGAAGAACAGCTTCACAGCTTTCACCTTTAAAGAACAATATTAATAATTTTTTTCTGCATTTATATATAACTATTTGTCAACTAAACAGACAATCATGCATCCAATTCTGTGTTAACATATTCTGCAACCTCTCAAAATGGTGGCAGTTCTTCAAGGTCAAAGTCAAATTCTCCCTTTCACAGAAAATGCCATGAACAGCAAACCAATGTGGTTGTGTTCCTTCTCAGATTAAAGAAAGGTTTTAGTCACACAGAAGACACAAGACAGCTTTCAAAGCTCCTTGAGAAATCAGTCACTCTTCCTGAACATCCAGTTAGAACTCCTCAAATTTGTAATGCCACCATTCTACCCTGAACAAGAAGGCTCCTTCCTTCCCTTTTGCATGTTTCATGCAAAATGTAAACTGAACATTTCCCACAGTCTCACACAACGGGACAACAATCTTGCTTTTTTTTTATACTGATCTGTATTAGGTTAGATGACACTGTGACAGGGAAAGCCCTACACTAACCTCTGCTACTTGCAACACCAGTGGAGCCACACAATTTGCTAGCACTTACTTACACTAAATTGTGACATCTGGTTCCTGTCCTTCTCTGTACTGGACTGTGCAAGCACACACTGGCACATTTTTAATATAAACAGTACTTCCTACATGTTTTAAATTAAAAAATAACTGAGTTAAGAGATTTAAACCATTACTCTTCAGGGACTGGCACCTGGTACCAACTACCAGAATTAAAAATGTCAGATACATCAACAGTAACTTTTATGGGCTGCCCTCAAATCTTGATTCTTCTTATATTTATAAATTATTCTTATATATTTATATATT